TTCAGGGAGGTGCCAGCCTCATCTTCTTATCTCTTCCTCGCCCCTCAGGAGACAAAAGAGCATGTTTCCCTCCCTGAGTTTGGCCTTCATAATTCCATTCCATCACAGCTTTATTTTAAACTGCAGCTGATATTTCTGTTAGAGGTCTGAATTCAGGAGTCCTTGTTGGGGGATGCGCTTCTGAGCATAGTCAGAGTGATAGAAGAATATCAAATAACTAACTAGCAGCACAGTCCCATTGAAAAAGAAAAATACTCATCACACAGTTGTCTTGGATGCAGACTATAGAGTTAGCTCAGTTCCCAATGAATGCTAATAGACATTCATTCTATTTGAAATAAAAGCTAGATTTATAAAAAATTACATAGGATAGGAAAGCCTCAATTCTACATAAACTTGAAGAAGGGGAAGTACAAGATATGGAGAGAGAGGAAATTCTTTGTCCTTAAACACAGTGATTTATTTTATAACAAGAGGGCAGGTGAGAGCATATATCAAAAGGTTTCAAGGTATCATGCAAGCCACATGGCTTGCATCACAACCTTGCAATGCATGGTTTGTCAGTTGCCATCGTGCCGACCCCCAGATGCCCATGACTTCAGCTGTCTCCCATGGACAACTCCCTTTTTCTTACTTGCATTTTTCTATATGTTTAAGAAAAGCTGATTGAACAACTACTTTGCAACTCTTAAGGTAGACAGATGCTAGTGACTGAATTGCTGGAATACTGTGCCTGTTAGCTTAACTTGGAAGTTTGGGCTAGGTGTTCTGCGTATTTTAACCTGTACTAGACTTGTGTTTCAGTAGAAAGAATAGCACGTTTTGCCTCACAGAATGATTTCAAGATCAATACTGTGTGTTTACGACCCCAGGAAGACACGCTTTCTCAGGGAAGTTAGATGATGTACTTCAAAGATTCTAAGCATGTCCAATAACTACTAAGCTCATGTCTGAACTAAAACAGAGATACACAAAAGGGATTCTTGATGAGAGCAATCAACTATACTTTACTCTTCAATCATTTTCACAATGCTTGTGTTCCAGTCTAACAGCAATTCTGGGGTCTGAAATCTCTTTAATGGATGAATAATGAAAGGGGGGGGAAGAAACCTAAGAAGGCATTTTTGTGGTACTTCTGAGATACTGAAAGGGAAAAAATTAACAAAAGAAACTCTTCTCTTTCTGTCATTTGCTCTGTTTCTCACAAGCCCACACCTTCTTTGTTTTAAACGGTTTTTGTTCTAATTATATTGTGCTTTTTATTCATGGTTTACTGCCCAGAGTTCCTTCTGGTAGATGGGCAGTTTAATAGACAAACAAATTAAATACTTATTCCATTGCCCTTTTTGCCCCCAGAAATATATCTTTGGAAAAATGCTGGATTTTGACATGCAGCTGACTTCACACAACATGCTCAGACAATGTTTGCTTAAGCATGGTTTGCTAAATGAAATAAAGGTTGGGTTCACACAATATGTTAGGTCATATACTTATTGTACCACACATTAAGCTAAAATAATGTTTGGGCTTAGAGTGATGTTATAGCAAATAACTTGAGTTCTGGTCTAATAAGATGAAGTAGTGTTATGCCAAGCAATTGTTCTACTGTACTTTGAATTTACCCCCTGATCAAAATGGAGATAAATGGAATTTTTGAAGAGATGGAAGATCACACTACCTTGACAGTGGCCAATCAGCCTCTTTTCTCTTCTTAAATGAACATGATCCCACCTCCATCTTCCTTCTTTTCAGAGAAAACCTTATTTTCTTACCTGCAGTGGTCAGGTGACTATGGAATATTATATGGTCAGATGATCATTGTAAAAAGAAAGAAGGTGGAGGAAACTGCATTTTCTATGGTACAAACCCATACTCTTGTATATTCAGTGTGCATATTTGTGCATTAAAAATCCTGTTGGAAGGATCAAGAATATGAATCTTTCTCATTCAACTGGAAATTTGGGAGGAAAGATGACAGTTCCATTTCCACTTTGTGTAGGCACTTATATAAAATAACAAAGTCCTACACAATTGGGAAAAAAATTCTACTGTTATACATTCCCATTTTGGCACCATAACAAATTATAGTTAATCCAAATTCCACCATGGATCCTACTGGGAACAGATGGAGGGATTTCGTAGTACTGGATCTCTAATGGAAGCAACAGCATCCAAATGAAATTTGGCTGACATGCACTATAGAGGGGGGAAAAAAATTACACCAGGATTTGCTTGACAGGTTTCTTTGATCACTGTTTAACTTTAAAAAAGCTTGGTGCTATTCTTTGCATGAGAAGATCTTCCTCCCAGTGATTCCAAGAATGACTATGGGATCAAAGCAACACTGTACAGCCCCATGGACGTTCCAAGAGGTTCTGGAACCACTTATCCCTAATGAGAGAAAACTTCAGTAAATGGAGGCAAATTTTAGAATATCTAGTTATCCTAATCTCTGAATCCACATTTCTTGCCAATAAAATGTCCAAGCCAAACTTCTAAATAGCTTGAGATCTGAATACTTGAAGAATGGCCTCTTCCCATATCAACCTGTTTGATCTTCTGATACAGTTTTGCTCTTTTTTTGGTCAGGAGCACCATCTATAGCAGGGTTTGCCAACCTTAGCAACTTTAAGCTGAATGGACTTCAACACCCAGAATCCCCCAGTCAGCATGCAAAGATGGCAAAACTGACCTGTTTAATTAGAGAAAAGGCATTAACTACATAGCAGCTAGAAACCCTTTATGAAAAAAAATGTATTTGTGATTTATGGGTTTCATGATTAGAAAGGGGAGATTATAGAAAGAAGGGAGTTATGATGTAACCTTAGAGAGAGAGGATAAAATTCGAATGCATTTATAACTGCTGTAACAGAAGCAAACATTTGGTTGATAACACAAAACTGTTTGTATAACTGCAGTCTTCTGGCGACCATTGCATAACCTTGAATGATATTTCTCTTAAGAACTTTGCATTACTATTTATAAATACTGAAGAAGAGTGTGACATCCATGGAAAGTTGGTTGAACTCTCCCCAATTTTGATAATAATTTTTTATTTAACAAGATTTGTATGCTACCTATTCTCACAATTCTAGTATCCTCCAGATGTGTTGGAATTACAAGTCCCAGAATTCCCAGGTAGAATTCCCAGGTAGCAATGGCCATGAAGAATTCTGCAAGTTGTTGGGAAATCTTAACCCAACAAATAACCCTTTGGGAATATTTGGGAAGACTGGAATAGATCTTGGGTTTAATCCAATAGAGCCCTTCTTCTGGAATGTGCTTTAGGCCACAAAGGAAAAATATACTGGACATTGCTGACAAAGCATGAAGTTTTAAGCTGACATGAGATAGCAAAGGAAAAAGAAAAAAAAAACGAGTCTTGCACTATTGGGCTAGCCATAAGACCAAAGAGCACTGGGTTTGGTAAGCTATTGACCTGACTCAGAAAGGGTAATGTTATAATATTAATTCAAGTCTGTACCCTATAGCGGATTGCCTATAGATGCAGACTTTGTACGGACAAGTATAATGAAATATGGGACTAATTTATAGAAAATACGGTAGGTTAAAAAAAATGATAGTCATATAAATCTATTCGAAATACATATTATTTATTATTATTATTATTTATTTAACTTGTCCCTGCCCATCTCCCCACAATGGGGGACTCTGGGCGGCTTACAACACACTAAAAGCATAAATACAATTAAAAGTTATAAAGTATATGTACTTTATTTAACTTGTCCCTGCCCATCTCCCCACAATGGGGGACTCTGGGCGGCTTACAACACACTAAAAGCATAAATACAATTAAAAGTTATAAAGTATATGTACTTTATTTAACTTGTCCCTGCCCATCTCCCCACAATGGGGGACTCTGGGCGGCTTACAACACACTAAAAGCATAAATACAATTAAAAGTTATAAAGTATATGTACTTGAATAGTATATATAGAGTTTAAATTGTTTATTGTTATAATGATATATTAACACTTTTTTTCTCTTTGTTGTGTTTTTTCACTTTTTTGTTCAACTACTTTATGTGTTTTTTTCTTCTTTTTGTAATCAAAATTTTAAAAAAAGAAGTCTGTACTCTCTATTAATGTGTAGGTCCAGGAGGAAATGAAACAAAAGCAAAGTGTAGGGAATTGCAATTTATTCTAGGTCACTTGACTGATGGCAGCTGTCTCTTTTTCTATTAAGGCCACACTGCACACTCAGTCAAGAATTGGGGACATCATTTATCCTAGATGGATGAGGAAAAGCAGATCTATAAACTCATATTTGAAATCTATGATTGCATAAGCTGTATTAAGCAGACTTTTTAAAAGGCATGTTCAGTGAATGATTACAAAATAAGAAATTTATACCTGATGGATCTTCTTCTCACTTGCCAATAAGATGGCTCAAACTCCAAAGGCCTCTGCTTGGAAAAAATAAGGCCCATTTAGAGTTGAGTCCAGCCTATTTTAATTTACGGATAGTCCACCCAGATACTACCCAGATCTCCTTGTTTGTCTCAAGTAATATCCCTGTTATTGCTCAAGCAAGCAGCTTTATCTGTTGCTGTTGTCAGAACCTGCATCAATCAAATGTCATTTTAAAAAAGTTATAGCAGTCAATGGGTGTTTGCTTGATTTGATTCTGCCATTTGTATCTGGGGGGGGGGGAATGGTAGTTTATAGCTGTGTTTGAGTTATTGCTATGAGATGGAGAGGTGCTCAAACTGATATGGGAATTTACAGCAAGACCTAAATGCAGACAAAACCGGTGGTAGTCTGAAGGCTGGGAAGAACTGTGTTATCAATGGGAGGGATGCACAAGGCCACCATTCTGTGAGAAAGGATTTTGGCGCCAATATAGTAAGGGGGGGGCGAAATAAGTAGAGGGAACTTTACACAGGCTTTAGTTTTAGCAATGCTTTGCTTCAAGCTGCATGTACCAACCAATAAAGGAGCATTTATCTGAATCAGGCCTGGTGCTATGAGAATTCTTCT